CATTTGGTTAATCGGGCAAATTTAAGTCTGGTCGCTCCAGACACTAACAAGCTTAGCCGAAGAGCTAAGTAGCTAAATAGGTTAACGCTCGGGTTACGCGCCCCGAAGCAGTAAAACCGTTCTCTCGCAGTGCTTCTGCGTCCTAAAATCCTCTTTGGATTTTGGCGGTGGTTCTTGTAAATCACTTCGGTTCTTGTAAATCACTCCGGTGTGTGGAATCGACATTTTACTACGTGGCCTTCAGGCGGAGTAAAACAGGAGTTTTATCCGTCTAATACCAACGCGGCCGCGTGGGTTTCACTCTCTTTGAGCCGGTGAAAGGGTCAGGCTTTAGGGCCTCCGTTCTTCCGGTTCCATGACTTTTTCTTCCATCTTGTGGTGAAGTTGTGTTATATTCATTTCTCTATCAACAATTCCTTGTTTTACCCTGTGCCATAAAGTTAAGTTTACGCAACGGGAGGTCCTTAATTGTGAGATGAATTAAGGGGGCTTTACCGGGTGTTATACGTAGGCTCAGCAGGTAAAAACGTGATTTGCTCTGTATTTAATGAGAAATGGACGAGACACAACAACATCTCTCTTGTACTGTTACACCTGATGTAAGGTTCTCTAACGTTCTGCTTCCAGAACACTCCAAGACACAGGAGACTGTTTACCGGCCGGACCACGCTGGTCCCGCCGCATACGCGAACAGGCCCGCATTGGACGGGTGCCGCCGGTCTGACGCGGTAGGGATGAGTGACAGCGGTTCGGTGCCAGCTGCACTCATCTCCGCATTTGACCCACCCCCATGGAGAGGAGCAGCGAGCTGCAGCGGTGGCTGCGCTCGGGAACCATTTGGTGGGTTAACCCCCTCCCCACTCTAACCCCATGAAGCTTAGTGTCAAGCAGGGAGTCATTGGGTCCCATTTTTAAAGTCTTTGGTATGACTCGACCGGGAATCGAACCCTAGTTCCCAGTCCCATGGTGGGCACTATACCACTTGGCCACTGAGCTGGTATGTATTAAAGGAGTTGTTCACTCATTAAATCAATACTTATAGTGGTCTCTAGTAGGAATTAATGCCTTGTAAGTTGTTCCCTGTGTGGTGGAGTTGCTAATGCTAATGGTTAGCTTCTACTAGTCGAGAAATTCTCTATTGTTTCCTGGGCGCTAAAGCAACAACAAGCTCCTACGTCGTGAGTCAAGGTGGGTGAGTCCATGAATGTTACGTGACAGTGTGACGTAGATCTGTCAGGGTTTTCAAATCCTAGCGTTTCATTGTCTATTTTCGTGGATCATCTTCCATGGATGTTTTATTTCCAAATAACACAAGCCTGGAAGAGCTTCTGCAGTGTGGTGGGTTGCTAATACTAAAGGTTAGCTTAAGCTAGCCGAGATGTCCGCTGCTGATTCCTGTACGTTAAACCAACAATAGCCTTCCCTGCAGTGAGTCAAGATGGGTGAGTCCATGAAAGTTAATTCACAGTTTGACGTAGAGCTGTCTGGGTTTTCAAATCCTAGCGTTTCATCATCTATTTTCCATCAGAAGCAAATGCAGCTAGGTTTAGGAGACTGTTTTCATGTTCAGCCTACATGAAAAACTCAGAGTGGCTGATTATAATCAGAAATAATCATTAGAAATGGGTTTTCAGTGTACCACACCTTTAATATAATCAAATATCTTCAGCCCACCATGAATCTTGGGATAAAGTGTGCAGTTATCGATACACCAGACCCCTTGGGGTGAAGAAGGCTGCTTCTGGAGGAGCTTTTGGATTTGGACAGCCTTTATCACATTGCTTATACAAAGATGGCCTTCAGTTGTGTCCTTCAAAAGGAAGCAACCCCTGAATTTAGACACAGCCAGAATATTGGTTCTTTTTTGTTGGTGCAAACAAATAAAACCTTTAAAGAATTCCTGTCTATTAAAAAAGATCGTACAAAGAAAAGTGTGGTTCCTGTTGTTGTTCTCCAATAAACAAAAGGAACGCATGTTTTCCTGCTCCTGTCCCTCGAGTCGGACTTGGCCACACTGCCGTCAAGTTTTCAACAGAATTTCAGAGCTGCTACTTTTTATTTATCTCTGAAGCTATTTTTTGTCGTTTCTTTATGAGTCACTGCTCTTCTGAGCCTGATGGATCCAGTTCTGCCCCACTGCCACGCTGTAAGCTGAGAACAAAACAATGTACCCCAAAAGATTGATGCATAAATCCTCTATCTACTCTGGGCAACAAGATCTGGGATCAAAGGCTGTTTTTTTGGAAGCCCTCTGCGTATTTATTTGTCAATGTCCTTATATAAAATCTTTATGGCTGAGGGGTTTTTGATGTTTCAGGAATAAAAGTTTCATCTCACCCCAAACAGAACCACTAATAAAACGGTTGGCGAGACAAGACCACCACTCATCCCGGCACAATGACCCAGCAGCGTTATGAACATTCGTCCCATTCTAGTTCATTTTAATGCACAATGTAAAGCTGCAAAGCAGGAGTTCACACACAATTCCTCATGCATCAAAACTAAACACCACCTCATGCTGGGTGAAGAAACCTCTGCAGACCAACTAAATGATAAGAATATTTGACTCTTTAAAGGGCCAGCCTGAGATAACTAAATAATCCATGAAAAACGTTACTGCTATCACAAGACATCATTTTTCTGCTGTTCAGTTTCGAGTGTCTATTGTAGAGCATCTAAATTTCAACATTTCCCAGAAGGTTTATGAAACTGTAGCTGAAAATAAAACATTAGAGGCTGACCAACCGCCGCTACAGTGGCCCGATATTGTGGATAAATTAATTCCACTCCATCTTTGCTTGGGTGTGTGATTGTGTGCGCGCGTGTGTATGTGTGTGTGTGTGAGTGTGTGCGCACGCACGCGCGCATGATGCTTACTAACAGCTGTTGCTGCCGTCTCAAATCCAGAGATGAGCTCTTGCTCTTCAACGCTGGGGTTTGCAATAGAAGAGGGGTCACCAACTCCGGTCCTCGAGGGCTACATATTAGCTGTTTCTTTGCTCCTACACACCTGATTAAAATGAATGAGTAATTAACAGACCTGTGCAGAGTTAAACGTGGTAAGGAGAACATTAACTTACTCCATTCAGGCATGATAGAGCAGGAAACACAGAAAACCAGCAGGACAGTAGCCCTCGAGGACTGGAGTTGGTGACACCTGCCCTAGAACTATTACCGGGACTGTCAATAGTATCAGTGCTGTACTTCATGCATTGTCGGTAAGTTTTATTTTAAAAACCAAGTTCACTGAGGACCTTTTGTGCTTGTTATTTAAATATGATCAGTCACTCTGAGTTTCACACGCAGGCTAAAGTTAAAAATATTCTACCACTATTTTCTACATTCTATGTCACATTGCAAATTAGCATTAATGAACTCACCCATCTTGGCTCATGACGAGGAAGGCTGTTGTTAGTTTTAGCATCCAGGAGAGGGTAGAGTACATCTCGGCTAGTGGACGCTAACAGTTAGCACTAGCAACTCGATCACACAGCAGAACTCCTTCAGGCTTGAGTTATTTGTGGAGATAAAACATAAGTGTTACGAAACAAACCGAGTCAGCGGTAGAGTCGTGTTGCTATTGGCCAATCAGAGGCGAGATGTCTGAATATTAGGAATTAAGACTCCAAAACCGGCTGCCTTCTGCTCACCTCGCTCTGGCTCAGTTATAGCTCTTGTAACGGGAGCGCCAGAGCTTTTGTCCCACCGAAATCGCCTCATGAGGCATTCATTAAAAAGAGACCTCTGCAAACGTGTTGTGAAACAAGTGAACTTGGTCTTTAACTTCTTTATTACTCTGTCGTGGTTGCTAGGTGACAGGACCTACGTTGAGGTAAGGATGAGAATAAAGATGAAGGCGAGACAGTCCTAATTTACAGCTTCTCACTTTCAGTCTAAACGGTTGAAGACGGACACTTCCTACCCGGTCCACTTAAATCGGGTCTTTCGAAGAATGCAACCCATTAATTGGGACACAGCCAGCATCTATCTACATAAAAGGTTAAGAAAAACTCCTAAACGTTCGCTGTTAAACATTTCTAGCCTGTAGCAATTAGCTGCTAACTTTTACTGGTTATTTTAATGCAAATGAAGTATTTCAGCTTTAAAGTAGCCCAAATAGCAAAGCTTGCTTGACTAAACACGGTAAAGAATAAGTTGAACATTAAAAGTACTTCAAAAAAGTTAAACCATTAAAGCAGCAACTATTTCAAAAGCAGAGGTACCATAAGGACAAGAACTTCAGCTGGTTATCCATGACCAACGGAAGCTCAGCCGGTGTCAAAAAGCAACAGATGTTCAGCAGTTATCAAATTACTTAGACTTAGATCATATGTGAAACTAGCTCAACCAAGCCTCGGAGTAATGAAGAAGGAAATTTAGTCAATCAACTGAGAAGAGAAATAATGAGACAGCAACAGAGCATGTCAAACATCAGGAGCCAAAAACCAAAATCAAAACACGTAAATACTCAGAACACAACCAAGGATGTTCCGATGGATGTCAAACGGCTGTTCTAAAGCCTATAAAGTTTTCTGTTTCCCTGCTTTTTAAATAAAAATGACTTTTGTAAAGGTAACAACTTTTCTGTCTGTTTTAAATTTCCTTAATATTGGTTTTCACCAGAAGATGATAGATAGATAGATAGATAGATAGATAGATAGATAGATAGATAGATAGATAGATAGATAGATAGATAGATAGATAGATAGATAGATAGATAGATAGATAGATAGATAGATAGATAGATAGATAGATAGATAGATAGATAGATAGATAGATAGATAGATAGATAGATAGATAGATAGAGAGAGAGAGAGAGAGAGAGAGAGAGAGAGAGAGAGAGAGAGAGAGAGAGAGATAGATAGATAGATAGATAGATAGATAGATAGATAGATAGATAGATAGATAGATAGATAGATAGATAGATAGATAGATAGATAGATAGATAGATAGATAGATAGATAGATAGATAGATAGATAGAGCGAGCTTGTTCTCTTACCTTAAGCATGTCTCCCTTGTTAAAACTGAGTTCATCACCTTCTGTTGCACGAAAGGTATAAAGTGCCACTGCTTCCATGCTGGAATGCTTTACCACTCTCTCACACGCACACACACTCACACACACACAGGTACCCCCACTAATGCCCCCAGCCACTGGGGCAATTAAAGAGGGAGATGTGTGAAGAAATAACAAGATAAATAAGAAGATAAATGAAGAGCAGACTGGAAGAGGAGAGAGGAGAAATCTGCTGTGCTCAAAGCCACAGAGAGAGCGAGAGAGAAAGAGAGAGAGGGAGAGAGAGAGAGAGAGAGAGAGAGAGAGTGTGTGTGTGTGTGTGTGTGTGTGTGTGTGTGTGTGTGTGTGTGTGTGTGTGTGTGTGTGTGTGTGTGTGTGTGTGTGTGTGTGTGTGTGTGAATCAGAGCAAAGGATGAGTGAATGAGATGGTGCGAGAGAGAGCGAGAGCTCAGCAAAGGGAAAAACAACTGGCTGCTGCTCAGCAACACACTGCCATGAGTAACACTCAGGAAAAGAGAGAGAGACTGCACAAAGGGGCGAGAGAGTGGGCGTGACTTCCTGTGTGTATATTTGTCTCGCGGTGGCTTCTGTGGATTGCATGAGTGCTCTTTTCAATCACTTTTCTGTGCTTGTTGCTCTTTGTGGTTTTGCATCGTTTGCAGACCATCTTTAGTTTTCACACCAAGGTACATTGTCAGCTTGAACCTCTGATCTCTGGTTTTCTTTGGAAACTCAAGGTTGCAGAAACCTGTAAACGGACTTTCATTTACAAACCAAAACATCCGATACTAAACTTCATTAAAAATGTGTATAAATATAGAAACAATGCCTTTTGTGTCTCTTTGCTCCTATGGGTCTTTGGGACTACGTATACGAGCATCGGCTCAATACCGCCTGGACTGGGTAGGGAGTGTTCACATACACATAACCTACTTTTTTTCCATGTGTAATCGGTCGTTTTTTCGGCCATTTTCACAAGATGGTCTGCTTCCGGCTGAACTGGTCCAACACACATACTAACCCTAACTGCCAACAGACTGGCTGGCTTGAATTCACGCCTACGAGGAGACTCCGATTGATGGATAAAATCAGCCAGCAAGGGTTTCCCGCATGCGTGATTCATTATCAGTCTGCTTTCTGAGGAGAAAACATGCCTCTGACTGAAGCTGTCTCTGCTACACACACACACACACACACACACACACACACACACACACACACACACACACACACACACACACACACACACACACACACACACACACACACACAGTGTGTGTGAGGCTTGAGCTGCCCTACAGCAGAATATCAGAGTCTGTCTCAAAAAGCAGCGCTGCTCGCGGCTGCCTTTTTTGTTTACAACGGATTTCTCTGTGTGTCTATTGCCCCGCCCATGCACTCATGACATTACTAATATCTTCACGAAAACTTTGGAGACCACCCGTATGCTCAGTAACCTCCACATTTGTTTGTGTAATCAACCTGGCTGGGTTGGGGCAGGCTGACCGGAATTGAGCCGGTGCTAGTATGGAAGGAGATATAGAGTCACAGTTGGTGGCACTGTTACAGCAATGATTTCTCGTCACATGTTTGAATCCTGGCTGCAGCCTTTCTGCATGGAATTAGCATGTTTTCCTCATGGTTTTTCTTTAGGTAGGTTTCCGACCACAAACCACAATCATGTAATTAACCCCTCGTTCACACTGAGCGTGGAGCAAATACGATCCGGTTTCTGTATGGCATATGGAACGACTGTGGTTCTTGTGCCGAATGTCTCCGGAAATCTGCCCCCACAAGAACACCAAATTTAGCATAAATAATAATGTGAACTATGGGAAAATAAATCAATGCCTTGTGAGTCAATCTCTGTGGGGGGAAAGCTCTGGTGCTCCCGTTTCAGGAAATAGCAGTGAGCCAGATCAGAGTTGAGCTGGAGGCAGCAGAATTTGGAGTCTTATTTCCTGATATTCTGGCAAGTTTTATTTCATTGGACAACAGCAACGCGACTCTACCACTGACTTGCAACATGGATGTTTTATCTCCATAAATAAAACAAGCCTGGAGGAGTTCTGCTGTACTGTGGATTTGCTAATGCTAATGGTTAGCTTCTACTGGCTGAGACGTCCTCTGCTGTTTCCTGGATGCTAAACCAACAACGTCCTTCCTCATCTTGAGACAAGATGGGTGAGTCCAGGAATGCTAATTTAACTTGATGACTAGTGATGTGATGTTCAAGAACGAATCAAATCTTTTGAACGGGTTTTCAAAGTGAATGATGAGAGACGAGTACCTGCAGAGAGCCGTCCATCTTAACAAACCTCCCCGGAAGTCGGTCAAACTCACCCGCTTAATCCCCACCCACTGCTGTGACGGACGTAGGAGGAACCATAGATATGTCTATAAACACGTGTTTATAGACATATCTATGGGAGAAATGCTAACCAACCCCATGCGCCCTCACGGACACCGCAGGGAGACTTTGCTCTTGATACAACTATCTGTTTTAGTGGTTTCTCTGCTCCAACACACTTGATTCAGTGGTTGAGTCACCTGTGCAGCAGCTCATCAGGCTCTGCAGAAGCCCGTTTATTACCTGGTGTGTCGAAACGGAGTGAAAACTAAAACGTGCTGGATACCGGCCCCTCCAGGCCCAGAAATGAATACCCCTGAAGTAAAAGATGGTCACTACTGTTGTTTAGTTCATGTGATGTTGCATAGAAACAAAAACCTACAAGTTAAGTCTAGTTTATACTTCTGCGTCTGTGTCTTTACAGAGATATGCAAAACCTCTATCCGTCAGTGCAAGGGCTCTCCCAACAGGCTCGTGAGGACAGACACAGTAGAGCCCACTTTACTAGACATCTGTCGAAAACGACTGAGTCCTGTGTTTGGTCAGGAGGCTACTTCCTTTAACTTCCTCAACAGCAACGTAGTTCCCCCTAAAAAAAAAAACAAAAACAAGAGCCGAACATATCTAGTGGCAGACACAGCAGATTGGAGAACTTCTTGTGGAAAAAGTCAGACGATATAAACGTTAATACTAGGGATGTTCCGATAAACGTTTTTTGTTCCCGATCCGATTCCAAGTCAATAAATTTTAAGAATGGCCACCCCTGGCCACCTCTTGGGGCTGCCATTGGTCACGGTGCATTAACTAAGGATGCTCCAATCTGATCACGTGATCGGAAATCGGGTTTGATCACATGATCGGATTGGAGCATCCCTAGCTAATACACCCGTGACTGAAGGAGTACAAAGATATGTCGCAAATGTTTTATTCATGTCAATAAATTTAGGGAAACGTGGGTTTAGAAGTGGTGACTGCCTGAAGAGTTGAAGAACCAATTTTTTGTGTGCTAAGTCTCTGAAAGACATAGACACAATGTAAACACTCTACAGACATAACTGCAATGATGGCCAAAGATGGCCTGAAATACACCCACAGCCCTAGAGTGTTCTAGGATTCTCCATGGCTCACAGCTTGCAAGTCCGCCTCTGGTCCCGACCATTGACTGTTTATATAACGGACAAACCCTCTGCGCAATTAACCAAAAGTTTCTGAAGAACTGAATTAAAGCCCAGTGGGCGGCTCCCACGACCGCCATATTGGTAACATCATGTGTCTCGTCACTCCTGGAAAATACTAAATTGGAGCTGAGAGTGGGGCTGTGAGGATGGGAGCAGATGACTGACACCCGTCAAACTCTGAACCAGTGTAGCTACGAGCTAATTGGCCTAACCAAAGCTAACGAGTTTGGCAAGCACTTTTAGCCAGAAAACCATGGTTTAGAGACTCCGCTGACTTATAGATTGTAACTTCCCTAAAAATAGGGGGGCTAGCCATTAATGCTGACTGCTTATCTGTTACCTGTCATTCTAAAGGACACGCCCCTAATTATTCATAATTTCAAGCTTTAATTGCATCTTAATGGATGCGTTACAAATATATTCATCCCCTCAGAGTTCTCATGATGGTAAACCTGACTTATTAAACCTAACATGCAGTAAACATGTTTATGTCTGCTGTGAAGTTGACATCATGGGAGTCAACGGGAACTTGCTCCTTTCTGGAGCCAACCCCTAGTGGATGATGGGGGAGTTGCAGTTGTTGTCACTTTCGTGTTGGCTTCTCTTTTGGCCCCAACCCAAACTTTGGGAACCACTGGGTTAGAGCACAGATCGAAAGGTGTTGGGTATTTTTGTAATTGTACCTTTTTGAGGCCTAAAAGCTGCCCATTTTGTGTTATTAACACTTCATGAATCTCTGTGTTTGCCAACTGTGGCTGTTCATGAAAGGTTGAGCAGAGAAGCTTGTTTCAGTCAAGGATGTTGATTCCAGCTGAAACCTTTTTTAACTCTGTAACCTGAGAAGGCCCCGCCTTCTCCATCCTTTGTTAACAAAATCCCTGGCAAACTGAGCAGAATGGGAGTGACGTGGGAAAAGCCTCGGAGGAGGTTTTTCCCTGCGTTAACTCTCCTTTATTTTGGGGACTCAGGGTAAAATGTCTTCCTTGTTGTCATGTGTGTTGATTTTAGGTTTCAGGGTTATGGAGATTAAATATTACCCCACATTTAATTAACTAACATTTTGGTGGAGAATGCGGGCATGCAGAGCTGGTGAGCTGAAGGCTTTCCCCGGGAGCAGAGGGGGCCTGGTTAGCTCCGTGGAGGGGGTTTCTGCGCCCAGCTCTCGCATGACGATTCATTGACATTACGAATAATCTACTCTCTCTCTCTCTCTGTGTGTGTCGTCCTTTAAGGTAATATGGGATAAATCTAAAATTACCTATCAAAAGGTTTATAGAAAAACATTTGCATGAACAGCAATAAAAGTTTGAAGATTGAAGATTTTTATTATGGACATTATACACCTTGTTGATTTCAAACTAGCTGTTAGCTCATCATTTCTGTTAGAAATTAGTTGTTTCTCCAAACAGAGGTCCTTTAGGAAACCCTCTACATGAAAACACCTTTTAAAGGTGGTTAAAATGTCCTTTTAATGTCCACTTTATGTAGCCTGTGGGCTGGGCTGATTTTAAACACTCAGAATCCTGCTTCTGGCGCTCTGAACGTGCCGTTATCTCTATTCCTGACAGGCTCAGAGCTGAAGATCAGCATGAGGAGCAGGTCTGAAAGCTGAGCTTTTGGGGGAGGGTTTCCAAACTCATCCAAACTCCTGATCAGCTTGCCTGTCTGCATCGGACCATCTCATGTGTCTGACAGGAAGAGCAGAGGAGAAGTGAACTAAACTGAACAGGAAGGAGACAAAGTGGAAAAGCAGGAAGTGTGCCTCTGTGATCTCAGTCCTGGAAACCTCCATTCCCACCACTAAGCTGGCCATCTGACACAGCTCCGAAGGTCGAGAAGAAAGAACAAAAGAGGCATGGATGTGTGACGACAGATAAACACATGAGGAAGTGAAACT